ATTAGTCATGTACTATTGTAACATGAAAATTCTTATTCGACTGAATAAATTCTTCATTAAGAATTTTCATACGGTCATGTTCAGTGAACTTGTTCTCTAACAAGCACCCACATAAATGTACTTACGTCTTACGCTAATGTTGATGGAATGCAACATTCTTGTCCAACAAGCATACAAAATATGTGCAAGTCTTTTATGGATTATTCGATATCCCATCTCGAAACATCCATCGACTTGGAACTGTATTTAAGATCACGGCTTTCAAGGTATGTTCCATGATCACCATCTCTATGCGCAACCATACCTTATAACCATAAGTGATCTAGGGATTTTATCTTAAGTGCAATTATAAGATAAATGCTTTCTCTTAAAATAAAGAAATGCCTTATTCATAATATAATTCCAATAGACTGTATTTACAAGTAGAATACGTCCAATTAGATTGGAACGCCGGGTACCCTACTCTAACAGGGCCGAGTGTCGTTGGATGTCTGTGGTGGTGATGGGTGGAGTGCGAATCGTCGGGTGGGGCGGGACCCTGGTTACTGCGTCGCTCTTTGTCGCGGTAGTCGGGAGAGGGTTGTTCTCTCTTGCTCAAATCCCTGTCATCTAGTGGTGTTAGGCGACGGGGGAGGTTCTATCGGCCTCGTCTAGTGGTGTTAGAAGAGTTCGGTTGGAATCGGAGTGGGATGGATGCTGGCCCTCTTGGTTGTCGATCGGTTGATTCGGGGACTGGTTCGGGATTTGGGTTCCGCTACTGTATAGGCTTAATTGCAGTTTCGGTAGCTGGTGCCTGGTCTGGATTGGTCTTGTGTCAATCGTGCACTTCTAGTCCGGGCTTACTCCTTCGCTGCGGAAGGGCTATTAGATTATTTAGTTTAGTGTTTTTGTGTTCATGTTTTATATATAAGTGTTTTGGTTTGGTTTAGGCTGTTTTGTGTCTGTATTGGTTTTGTTCTGGTCTTGTATTTTAGGTTTGGGTCACTTGGCCCCTGTGCGAGGGATTACTCCGTTGGAGTCGTTCCACATTACCTCGTTGGGGGTCGTTCCACATTACCTCGTTTGGGGTCGTTCCGCAGTTAGGTCGTTGGTGTTGTGTTATTGTGAGTTTTCTTTCTAGCGTTGCTAGTCGTCTCTAGGCGGTCTTTTAGACCTGTCCTCCCAGTTTTATTCAGCTGTTGGATGTATTCTTCAGCCATGGGCTGTGTACTTTGCACATTTGTGCATTTTTGTTATATAATATTTTCTATCGTTTCGTAAAAAAAAGATTATGGTCATTTATTTTTTTACTTTTTTGTATTTGGTATTATACATTTTTATATATAAATATATATATCATTATATTTGCTAGTCCGGTAATACCACCGATATTACCGGTCCGACCGGAAATACCGCGTACCGGTGACTAGACCGGTATGGCCACCAGTACGGTATTTAAAATACTGGTTAAAATATTATATATATCCGATTTATATATTTATGTAGTGTGGTATTTTTTCGCGGGAAGTTATTGACGTTAAGTATGGAGTGTAGTGATAAAGTGCAACATGTTGTTTTATAAAGTGTAACGTGATGTTTTATGAAGTGCACCGTAATAACATATGAAGTGCACTATATATGATCAAATATAACTTATGTTTTTTTAAAAACTAGAATTAGCAGATATAATTTTACACCAGATGAACCTAAATAATTAAAATAATTTATAATTTATTACTACAAAAATATATTTATTATTCTAATATTTTTTAAAATAAAATGTCGTTTGTTTTAACAATACGTGCAGTGTGCATTTTTTATGTTCAACTATGTTGCAATCATTAAAGTTTTTACAAATTATAAATTTGACCTTGTTGACTAAATTATAACACAATACAATATAATAAATTCCATTTAGGTCCCTTGAAATTATCAAATTTCTAAAAAGAAACCCCACAATCCCAATTTACATTTTCTGTGATTGTCCCCCATGGAGTACTGTTCAGCCCCAGCGGATTCTTCCATAACTGGGCCGTGCCACAATCGTCGCTCAGGATGCCCTCGTCAGCAGTGTCCGCGATGAGAGATGTCCCGCCGGCCATGGCGCTGTAGACGGCTAGGGCGGTCAGTTGAAGGGGGTGGAGAAGAGCTCTAGCGTAAGGATGTCGTTGAACGGTTGAAGGCGGTGGAAGCCTGCGAGCACCAAGGCAAGAGGCGTGGATGCCGGTGGCGGGTGGCAACAGCAGAACTCCGGCAAGACGTCGGAGGAGCAGCTGAAGAAAAGCGGGAAGCTGGCGGCGGTGGAAGCTGCGATGGAGGGACTCCCGCGAACGAGGGAGTGGGCGGCCACGGTGGCGGAGCGACGACGGCGATGGTGAATGCGGCGGCGGCGACCTGTGTATGTTTATATGCACGAAGTGTGTGTGCGTGTTGGTGTGTGTGTGGTCTATGAGAGAGATGTGTTGGTGTGTGAGAGAGAGATAGGATAGTATGTGTTGGTGGGTTAGAATAGTTGACATTTTGGTGTGCGTGTGTGTTAGCAGTTATATTTAATTTGGAGTGGGGTCCACCTTTTTAGGTGTGGTGCTTAAAATTACTACATTACCCTTAATGAAGATATAATTTTGGTTTTTTTTAAGCCATTAGATCATCTGATCTAATGGCTACAATTTATTCTCATTTCTTTCACTAAGTATCATTCTCATGTGAACCCAACCCTATATATATACATATAGGGTCACGCTCCGGTGAGAATGGTTCTTAGTGAAAGAAATAAGAATAAATTATAGCCATTAGATGGAATGATTTAATGAATTAAAAAATGCCAAAATTATACCTTCATTAAGGGTAATGTGGTAAGTTTTTAAACACCACAAAAAGGTGGGCCCCAATACACATTTAATTTGCCTGCCAACTACCTAATTAATCTGTCACCCACCCACCTCAGTTCACGCCAACTATCTCTCTCTCTCTCTCTCTCTCTCTCTCTCTCAGACACACACACATGCACCACACACACATGCACACACTGTATATACACTCTGCCTCCATTCTTCTGCCGTCCCCAGCCTCGATCGCCGCTTTCACTCTCCCGCCGGCGACCTTCATGTTAGTGTTATATACTGAAAGCTTGGCTTTGCATGTTATTACACATTTACCCTTTATGAATGAGAATCATGTTAGATTAAACAAGTTCTACGTTCTGTTGTTCTGCACTTAGATAGGGTGGGTCGTCATCGGGCGAACCGAAGATCACTCTATCAGTCACTTGCGAACAAGAATAGTTGTTCACAACCTAGATGGACATGAACACCCCATCCGAACGGTTGTAGTGTCAACTGTACAGTTTGTCTTGACTGATTAGTTGCACTAGTACATTTATGTTTTGAACAGGATCCCAGAGAGGAAAAGTTCATTTTATACGGATCGTAGTAAATGAACTAGGTCTCGGTTAATTACTGCGTTCTCTTAACCCGTAAGATATTAAACAGGCACATATGTATAATATATATTACTTTGATTCACATGGGTGAGGTTCAGTTCGCTGGATTAATATTCCTACTGTTTTTGGTAATATTATTATATATAGGATGTGCTGTTAGGATATTTACGGTCACCATGTGCGTTAGTTTGATGATGTCCCCGGAGTGAGTTCATGAAGGATTGTTATGCTAAACCCTGCAGGTGGATTAAATTCCGGCATAATAAGAATGTGATGAACGAGCGCTAGCTTCGGTGAAATAATAATAAATTAATTAATTCTTGATTGTCAGTAATCAAATTAATTAATGGACATTATATCTTAAACGTGGGGAGGTAAATCGAGTAATTATTATTGGAGTCTCAAATGTAATTTGGGCTAGGAAAAGGGAGTGCAATAATATAATGTTGGTGGCCCATTCATATTATTTAATTAATTAGAGGAGTGGGCTTGGCCCACAGTTAGTCTAATTAATTAAGGAGCACTTTTCCTAATCTCTTAAGAGTCCCTACTGTAGCTCTATATATACATCATTAAGCTCATTAGAATACACGAGATCTGTCATTATACAAACACACGCCCCACGCCTCTCTCTCTCTCTCTAGATCTCATTGGAGCTTTATCTTCTTCTTGTTGCTCCACTGGTACAAGTTGAAGAAGGGTGTATTGAGTAATACAGTAGAAGATCTGTAGGTAAACCGAGACGAAATATATTTTGACCTACAGAACTCACCGGAAGTCCGATTGAGACGTACAGTATACCCAGACGACCGTCTCGACGAGAGCTTTCCAGCGCATCGAGATCTCCGGAATCCAACGTCTCACGCGCCCTCACGCGCCGCCGAAAGCTCCCCGGCTGCAAAATTTCGTTTTGATCTGTTTGCATCCGTTTGATCCGGTTTTGATCTGATCTTGTTCGTGCAACCCAAGACGTGATTTGCGGTCAATAAATTGCAGTCTACCGTTCGTGGTCAACCAGATCTATATAAATTTTAAGTCGTAAGTTCTCTACGTCAAACCTTTAGATCCGCTGCGCATAGGTTTACGTTTGCTATTGAATTCGTGACTTGTACATAACGAGATCCTCACAGATCCCAACAAGTGGTTTCAGAGCACGTTAATTCAATTTGTACAAAGTTCGAATTTTTACGGCTTTACTTGACAAGATGTGTTCAAACGCAGCCATATATTGGATTATATTTGCATAACTCGGTTTTGCAGAAAAATAGTTAATCCACTATTATGGCCGATTATGTGTTTGATGAATGTTATTGAATGTGATGTATGGTTTTAAATTTGTTTTTAAAGCCTCGGACATGTCGAGGAATTTATGGATGAATGTTTGTAATAATTATTCGCCCGGGGGTTGATCGGATAGATTTAATTATTTGTTTAGAAAACATGTACATCCATTCGTTGGATCCAGGATCGAATTATGTAATTTTGTAAATTATATTTTTCGTGTTGTGATCGTGTGTTGATGACCGGGAGATCACAAGAAGATTAACGAGCCTCGAAGAATTAAATAAAAAAAACAAAAAAAAAATTGGCTTTTTCCGGTTACCGGAGGCCGGCGGCGGCGGACTGGTGGCGGCAGCTGGTTGTTCGTTTTTGCCTTAATGTCCAAGCAGTACAAGATCAACCAGGATTCTACTGCTTAGAGGAGTTCCAGTTGAACAGAGAAAGAACTGTCACAGTTTCCTTTTTTAAGGTGACTCAATATTTAATGGTCATAATAGTGGATTTATTTATTTAATTAATTAAATTTATTATGTCATTAAATTATTATTTATGCATGTTAATTAATTATGTAATGCATATGATTAACTTAGAATTGTGTCAATAAATTATGCATGTTAATTAATTATTGCATTGGCATGGATTAATTTAGAATTGCATAAATTATTGAACATGTTAACTAATTATTGCATTGACATAGATTAATTTAGAATTGCATGAATTAATATGCATGTTTATTAATTATTGCATTAACATAGATTAATTTGGAATTGTATAAATAGTTCAAAATCCTCATTAAAATAATACTAAGTTTGAGAAGGGATTTTAAATTAAAGTTAATTGTAAAATTCCTAAGGCCTCCATTTCTAATTTGTCGGTAAATGAATTAATTGCGGTTATGGGCTCCCCCTCGGGTGACATTGCTAAAATTAATTGTAGGAAATTACCAGGATAAATTTCTAAAAATAGACAGTTAGAGGAAATCTTATGAGAGCGTACGGGCTTCTCCTCGGATGACGTATAATCAAATTTGACGACCTTAGGACTGAGAAATGGGATTCACTTAGAACGCGATTAAATTTATTAACCCCCTCGGGGTCCCTGAATTCTATTGCATGGCCAAATGGAGACCGACTATTAATTTTGTTCGTCATGAATTTGGTTTTGACTTATGGAAATTAATGGGCCTTAGAAAAGCCCTTTTCTTACAAAATACGAGTTTGTAGGGCGACCCTCGTAGCATGCATTCTCACAAGGTGTAATAGATGTCAGTGAATTTAAGTTAATGTTGTTTTGAGGATATCAATATTAACAGTTAAATTCAAAAGTTTTTAATCCGTAAAATTTATGTGCATGATTCTCAGGATATTCATTATGTCGTTCAATCTGTTGTCAGTCATTCTAAAAGAAAATCAGCTTACTGGTCCTAATTACATTGATTGGAAGAGGAACTTAGACATAGTGTTGACTGTTGAGGGTTATAAGTTTGCTATCACTGATGCTTGCGCTGCGGTGCCGGCGGCTGATGCTCCTGAGCAGGAGAAAGAGGAGTAAGCACGGTGGAAGAAGGCTGATGAGATGGCGAAGTGTTACATTCTGGCTTCTATGCCGAATGTTATTCAACATCAACATCAGTTTAAGGACACTGCAGCAGATATATTTCTCAATCTCAGGGATCTGTTCGGACATCCGTCTAGGGCTGCTAGGCAAGAGGTTTTGAGTGCTCTGATGAGTATGCGCATGGCCGAGGGCACACCCATAAGGGAGCACGCCCTCAGGGTTATGGCGCAGCTCAATGAGCTTGGGGTTATGGGAGGTTATATTGACGGGGAAACCCAAGTTGATATTATGCTCCAATCTCTGCCGAAGAGTTTTGATCAGTTCCAGTTGAACTACAACATGCACAAGATGCATATGGCTCTTCCAGAACTGCTTGCAGAGCTACAGTCGACGGAGGCATTATTCACTCAGGCACCTCAGGTGCTAGTCGCCGAGCAGGCTGGACCTTTCAGGCCTCACAAGGGCAGGAAGAGAAAGAAGTCTGCAGGAAAGGCGAAGGCACATGATGCTCCGGTTTATCAACGACCGACCCCTCAAGGTGTGGCAAAGAAACCGAAAGGAAGATGCCACAAGTGCAACAAGTCAGGACACTGGAAGGTCGACTGCCCTCTCCTCAAGAAAGGTAACTCTCTCGTTAATGTCGTAGAAACATGTTTAGCGGTTGTATCTACCAGAACCTGGTGTGTAGATACTGGAGCCACTGATCATGTCTGCAATTCTTTGCAGGGGTTCCAGGAAACCAAGCGACTTAGGGAGGGAGAGATCATCGTCTGCATGGGCAATGCTATGAAAGTGGCGGTTGTTGCAGTGGGAGACGTTACTTTATCGTTTAATAGTAGTAGTTTAGTTTTGAGAAATTGTCTTTATGTTCCTAGCTTTAGAAAGAACCTTGTTTCAGTTTCTAAACTCGTGATGGATGGTTTTTCAGTTTCATTTGATGACACGGTTATTATTCGTTTTGGTAATCGTTTCATATGTTGTGGTTCATTAGTTGGCAATTTGTATGTTCTCAAACCAAACTCTCACACAGTGCAACATAATAAATTGAATAATGTCATAATTACATCTAAAAAGAGGAAGGAGTCTTCGCAGATGAATCAAGCATATTTGTGGCACCTTAGACTTGGGCACATCAACCTTAGGAGGATTCAAAAGTTAGTGGCCAGTGGACATCTCGGTCCTTAGGAAGAGCACTACCCAACTTGTGAATCCTGCCTGGAAGGTAAGATGGCCAAGAGGTCGTTTACGGCAAAGAGGTATAGGTGCCAAGAAGTGCTAGGTTTGATTCATTCTGATTTGTGTGGTCCTATGTTGATCCAGGCTAGAGGAGGTTTCGAGTACTATATGTCTTTCATAGATGATTACTCGAGATTTGGGTACGTTTATTTGTTGCACCGCAAGTCTGAATGCTTTAAGAAATTCAAGGAGTATCGGGCAGTTGTGAAAAAGCTTCATGGTAAATGTATCAAGTCACTTCGTTCTGATCGAGGTGGCGAATACCTCTTTGGAGACTTCAGGACATACTTATCGAAAGCTGGGATTGAATCCCAACTGACTGCACCCGGCACGCCCCAACAAAACGGGGTTGCAGAGCAAAGAAATAGGACTCTTATGGAGATGGTTAGGTCTATGATGAGTTATTTGAGGTTACCAGATTCGTTCTGGGGTTTGGCATTAGAAACAGCATCGTATATTCTGAACATGGTTCTATCGAAGTCAATTGACACTACCCCTTATGAGATGTGGAAAGGGCGCAAACCCAGTTTCTCACAGTTTTGAGTTTGGGGTAGTCCTGCACACGTGTTAGTGCAGGAACCTGGCAAGTTGGAGAAACGTTCGGAAGCACGAGTTTTCGTAGGCTATCCCAAGAGAACGGAAGGTGGATTATTTTATAGTCCTGAGAATCAGAAGGTGATCGTTTCGACGAATGCTAGATTCTTGGAAGAAGACTATATTATGAATCATAAGCCCGCGAGTAGACTAGTCTTAGAGGAGTTAAGGGGTGAAATCGATGGTTCCCCACCAAGTGCGCAAGTAGATACATCACATAATACTGCAACACGGCACACTGAGAGTGTACCAGTGCAGACAGTGCCTCGTCGCAGTGGGAGGGTTTCTCATTTACCCGACTGATGGATAGGTCTTGGAGAGTCATCGGACTCAGTTCCAGGAGGCCTAGAATCGGACCCAAGAACTTACGATGAGGCACTCCAAGATAAAGATGCAGATTCATGAAATGTTGTAATGAAAGCTGAAATGGGGTCAATGGACTTCAATCAGGTCTGGGATCTTGTAGAACCACCCGATGGGGTACGCCCCATTGGATGTAAGTGGATCTATAAGAGAAAGATATGATCGGATGGGAAGGTACAAACCTTTAAAGCTAGGCTTGTTGCAAAAGGTTATACCCAGATCGAGGTATTGATTATGATGAGACCTTTTTGCCAGTAGCTATGCTTAAGTCCATTCGGATTCTCTTGGCTGTAGCCGCTCATATGGACTATGAGGTCTGGCAGATGGATGTCAAGACAACTTTCCTTAATGGGAACCTGCAGGAAGACATCTATATGCAGCAACCAAAGGGATTCATTGCTGAAGGTCGTGAGCATCTAGTGTGTAAGCTTAATCGGTCTATTTATGGACTGAAGCAAGCTTCAAGATCTTGGAACATCCGTTTTGATGAGGTGATCCAGTCGTACGGGTTCACTCAATGTCTGGATGAGCACTGTGTTTACAAGAAAATCAGTGGGAGCGTGGTGGTGTTTCTTGTGCTTTACGTAGATGACATACTGCTTATTGGAAACAGTAAGAAAGGAGTTGTAGACGTAAAGGTGTGGTTGTCTAAGCAGTTTGATATGAAGGACTTAGGTGAATCAGGACACATTCTTGGTGGCTCATTAGAGACCGTAAGAAGAGAATGTTGTGCTTATCCCATTCTTCATACATAGATACTGTCTTGGCCAGATTCAGCATGCAGGATTCCAAGAAAGGTATGTTACCTTTCAGACATGGAATACCTCTATCTAAGGAGATGTCTCCTAAGATGTCTAAGGAGATAGAGAAGATGAAGACAGTTCCTTATGCTTCGGCAGTAGGAAGTCTCATGTATGCAATGTTGTGCACTAGGCCAGATATTAGCTATGCCGTTGGCATGGTAGCTAGATATCAAAGTAATCCGGGACGGAAATATTGGTCTGCGGTGAAGCATATACTCAAGTACCTGAGAAGGACTAAGGAGTACATGTTAGTTTACCGTGCAGGCAGCTTGTTACCTCTGGGTTACAGTGATTCTGATTTCCAGTCAGATAGGGATGAAAGTAAGTCAACCTCAGGTTATGTGTTTACCTTGGGAAGTGGAGCCATTTCATGGAGGAGTGCTAAGCAGAAATGCATGGCAGACTCCACCATGGAAGTCGAGTACATAGTAGCCTCAGAGGCAGCGAAAGAGACAGTTTGGCTCAGGAACTTCTTAGTGGACTTAAAGGTTATACCGAGTTTGCCACGTGGTATCACCGTGTACTGTGATAACAGTGGAGCAGTAGCGAACTCAAAAGAACCTCGAGCCCACAGGAAAAGCAAACACATAGAGCACAAATACCATATGATTCGGGATATCGTTGGAAGAGGAGACATTGATGTGGCCAAGATTGCGTCAGATGACAACCTAGCTGATCCTTTCACGAAGAGTTTGCCGGGGAAGGTCTTCGTCAAACACGTGGAAGGAATGGGAGTCATGAGCATGGCAATAGGATCGACATATGTCTTTTAGAATAACGGATTGATAGAACTATACTGTAAAAGCGAAAGCTTTAAGTATAAGTGGGAGATTGTTAGTGTTATATACTGAAAGCTTGGCTTTGCATGTTATTACACATTTACCCTTTATGAATGAGAATCATGTTAGATTAAACAAGTCTACGTTCTGTTGTTCTGCACTTAGATAGGGTGGATCGTCATCGGGCGAACCGAAGATCACTCTATCAGTCACTTGCGAACAAGAATAGTTGTTCACAACCTAGATGGACATGAACACACCATCCGAACGGTTGTAGTGTCAACTGTACAGTTTGTCTTGACTGATTAGTTGCACTAGTACATTTATGTATTGAACAGGATCTCAGAGAGGAGAAGTTTATTTTATACTGATCGTCGTAAATGAACTAGGCCTCGGTTAATTACTGCGTTAAGATATTAAACAGGCATATATGTATAATATATATTACTTTGATTCACATGGGTGAGGTTCAATTCGCTGGATTAATATTCCTACTGTTTTTGGTAATATTATTATATATAGGATGTGCTGTTAGGATAATTACGGTCACCATGAGCGTTAGTTTGATGATGTCCCCGGAGTGAGTTCATGAAGGATTGTTATGCTAAACCCTGCAGGTGGATTAAGTTCCGGCATAATAAGAATGTGATGAACTAGCGCTAGCTTCGGTGAAATAATAATAAATTAATTAATTCTTGATTGTCAGTAATCGAATTAATTAATGGACATTATATCTTACACGTGGAGAGGTAAATCGAGTAATTATTATTGGAGTCTCAAATGTAATTAGGGCTAGAAAAAAAGGAGTGCAATAATTTAATGTTGGTGGCCCATTAATATTATTTAATTAATTAGAGGAGTGGGCTTGGCCCACAGTTAGTCTAATTAATTAAGGAGCTCTTTTTCTAATCTCCTAAGGATCCCTACTGTAGCTCTATATATACATCATTAAGCTCATTAGAATACACGAGATCTGACATTATACAAACACATGCCCCACGCCTCTCTCTCTCTCTCTAGATCTCATTGGAGCTTTATCTTCTTCTTGTTGCTCCACTGGTACAAGTTGAAGAAGGGTGTATTGAGTAATACAGTAGAAGATCTGTAGGTAAACCGAGAAGAAATATATTTTGACCTACAGAACTAACCGGAAGTCCGATTGAGACGTACAGCATACCCAGACGACCGTCTCGACGAGAGCTTTCCAGAGCCGTCGAGATCGCCGGAATCCAACGTCTCATGTGCCCTCACACGCCGCCGAAAGCTCACAGACTGCAAAATTTCGTTTTGATCTGTTTGCATCCGTTTGATCCGGTTTTGATCTGATCTTGTTCTTGCAACCCAAGACGTGATTTTCGGTCAATAAATTTTGGTCTACCGTTCTTGGTCAACCAGATCTATATAAATTTTTAGCCGTAAGTTCTCTACGTCAAACCTTTAGATCCGTTGCGCATAGGTTTACGTTTGCTATTGAATTCGTGACTTGTACATAACGAGATCCTCACAGATCCCAACACTTCACTACCCTCCGGGCAAGCTGCAGAATCACCGCCGTCGGTGACGGTGTGGACAATCAAATAGTCGAAGCCCGACCACCGCCATAAATCCGCCGCCGGCCATCGTTGTACACATACATACACATTCTCCGGCGCATCCAGATCTTCCCCTCCGCCACCGCCCCTTGTCCGACGTCGATACCTCCGTCATCTCCCACTTCTTCCTATCACCGGTCCGCTTTTCACTGACGTCGAGGTCGTCTTCATCAACGTCCACTGCAACGATTCCGACAGAGATCGAGTTGTCTTCAGTTATTCACGGCCTCAGCTGTGCGACTAGCTGCAGCGTCTCGCGAGTTTGATGTTGACGGCAGACGGTGGCCGGAATATGCAGAAGTCTCCGGTGGTCCTCCAACTCGCCGTTCGACTTCCATAGCTCAGGCATCGAGCGCCTCTGTCGATGAACTGTCCGATATGGCGGCTGGTGGTGGTGTGGTGGGTGGAGGGATGGCCCGCGCGTGTTGGTTGATTGTAACATTAATTTGGGGCTAGTGCTTTTTCAATGAGAATTAGATATATTTTAGGGACTTATCTGCAGTTTTTACAAAATTTGAATAAGATATCATTTAATTAATGCTAAAATCTGTAATTTATCACAAAAAAAAACTCCCATTTGTCCATATTTCGAGAAACAATATCTCTTTTTTTTCATTCCCACTCTAAGTGCACAATATTGATGATTATATTGCACAATATTGTGTACGGATATGCACTTTAAAATTACGCGTGTTGCAAAATATACAATAAATATTGTACAAAATGCACATTAATAAATAAATTATATATATATACATATATGTGTGTGTGTGTGTGTGTATTAAATAAAAAATAAGATTAGATATTAAATAATATAAAAATATTTTGTGATAATTAATAAATTATTAAATAAAAATTATTTAGGTTAATTCAATGTACAATTATACACATAATTTATCTGGGAATGTATAAATTAGTTAGTTCACTTTATATATAGAAATGTCGCACTTTATAAAATAACATGATACACTTTATAGAACAATGTGTTGCACTTTATCACATCATCTATCTACAAAATATACAAGCATGCTAAGGTACTAACCAATAAACACAAGAATGTTAACGTAGCAATATCAATATGATGCACCTTATACAGTAATACATTGCACTTTATAATACAACATGTTGCACCGTATAAAATGACACGATGCACATACTAAAAATTCAATAATATTGATAATGAATGTAATAATATTAGTTGGTTAACTGTCGGATGTAGTAATTTTAAATAAATAAAATAACTGAACATGCCAAATTATATGATGCACTTTATACAGTAATACATTACCTTATAACACAACATGTTGCACCGTATAAAATGACACGATGCACATACTAAAAATTTAGTAATATTGATAATGAATCGAATAATATTAGTTGGTTAACTTACGGATGTAGTAATTTTAAATAAATAAAATAACTGAACATGCCAAATTGAAAAGTATTACCAATTTTCTTTATTTATATTTTTTCTTAATAAAAATAATAATAATATTTTTTATCCATATTTTTTGTATGTATTGCGAGTGCACATTATGAATATACGAATTGCATATAAATGTCTACCGGATTGCACAAAACCAAACGAGACCCAACGAATATGAATTCGGTACAATTTTTTTTATGTTGACTCGATTATTGTTATTATTTCTTATATATTAATTATTTCGGTATGATGTCATGTTTCTTTTAATTTGAATAACGAAAATATAAAACAAACTATATTAAAAACTATTATTTTATATATTTTTTGTATAAAGATAATAAACTATGATTTTTCTATTGAAATATAAAAAAATTATAATAGTGCATTTTATGTTTTATTGTGTATGTATTAAACTTTTGTTAAATTACCTATTTGCCTAATGTGCTCAATTGAAATATAATACAAATTCAAAAATTGCAATTAAGACCCCAAAATAACTCAAATTCTCAAACTATTGACCTCAAATCTTAAACATTTTGTCTGCAGAAAGAAAGAACAAAAAAAAAATCTTAAACATCCCACTTGATAGAACAAATCAAACGTCCGGTCAAATCACAGAGGTCGTTGGCGGCGACTTTAGCTGCTCCATCTCCGCCAACATTCACCGGCGACTTTCCGGGGAGCGGCCAAGACGGCGGAGAGTTTCGCGACTTTGAAGCGGTCGATGACCGCGACGTTGCCGGTGGCGGCATGATCGGACGGCGGGCTGGAAGCAGTGGTCGGGCTGCCTAGATAGAACGGCGGCAATGGCGGATGCTAATGGTGGGTTGAGCATGGAGATGACGAGATGCGATATGGTAGGGCGGCAAACAGAAAGCCGGCGAGGAGGAGAGAGGCGGCGACGGCGGGTGAAATCCGACGATGGCTAAAAGGGGGCCACGGGATGATGACGGCGACAGGCTGACGAGCGGCAACGGGATGAAATACGGTTGTGTGTGTGTGTACGGCGGTGTGTGTGTGTGTAGTGTGTGTTTTTTAGTTTTAATATGAGAGAGAGAGAGAGTAGTGTGACGTATCAATATGAGAGAGAGATTATATTTATGGTGGGCCCGGCTGATTAATGTGTGTATATATATATGCAATGACTAATATATCCCTATTGAGTAGTCAAATATGCATATTTGACCACAATGTGTGTTAATTTACCATATTACCATTAATGATTGACCAAAAAAAACCAATCAAACCGATGATGACCGTAGGATCAATCAGGTGGACTAGGTCTTTCTGAAGAAGAAAGGATAGAACTCCATCTTCGATATACAATATTATGAAGCTATTGACTCGTACACAGAAGAAACAATTAGACACAATGGATATTCACTCAAAAGCAAAGCGATGGAGGGCCCAGCTTGGACTTAGGTAGAGATTGCTCAATCCTAATCATCTTTATAACCTCTCAGATTCGACTCCAGTCACCGAAGACGACAGCCTCCACAATGAGATTGTCCCGTTCTCTTCGCAGCATTCTAAGTCTACTCTCGAGGTACAGAGAAGTCCAAAGAAAGCGACCAGAGGAAGTCTGGTAAGAAAGAGCAAGGTAGGTTGAGTCCCAGCGAGGTCCGAGACAGTACCTCTTCCAGAACAGCAGGTCGAAAGAAGGTTGGAAAATCTTCAAAAAAGGCTTAGAAGAGTAGCCCCCTAGAACCTCGCAAAGTTCCATAACAAGTATCTGCTTTCTAACATGATCATAGCTATCATTGAGTCCCATCAAAAACTCTGGTACTTTGCTTTTAAGTGCTCAAGCCAGCTATTTTCACAGTAAAAAGCAAGTCGACAGGAAAGAAATGAGCTTGTTATGTAGTTTGACTGTATCCTAACCATTGATATATAGGATCTAATGGTGTACAATCATTCTTATTTCTTTCATCATGACTCTTTCTCATATGATCCCTTCTCTCTCTCTCTCTCTCTCTCTCTCTCTATATATATATATATATACATAGAGTTGGGATCATATGAAAATGGTAGATAGTGAAAGAAATGAGAATAAATCTGGATCATTGAATACATCGTATCAATGGTAGAGATTAAATCAAAATCTGGTCAATCATTAATGGCAACATGGTAATTTAATATTCATATTGTGGTCAAATATATGTATTTGACCATACATTGAGGGTAAATATGTCATTATACATAATTCCACCCCAACCCCCACTAACCTAACCTCTCTCACACACCTTCACCTACCTTACGCACACACAGTATACTCTCTCTCACACACACACTACACACACACCTTTTACCCACACAGATGACAGAACACACGCAACCACCCAATGCACCACCTCCACCTACACCTCCGGCAGTCGCTTCCGACCACCGCCATCACATCCAATCGTCGACCTCCGACCACTGCCGTCGACACACCGACCACGCCACCAACCTCCACCAGCTCCGCCACCAACCTCCACCAGCTCCGTCACCAACCACCACTATTAAAGCCACTAACTGGGCAACCACCACCAGCCCCGCCACCAACCACCACCGAATCCGGCCCCAACCACTACTATTCCAGCCACCAACCAGGCAACCACCACTAGCCCCGTCATTGACACCAACCACCACCAGCTATGCCACAGCCGCAAACAGCCCCGCTGCTACACAACCACATCGCCACTGTCTGCAATTACCTCCGCCAACATCTAGCCGCTCCGCCTCTCCATCCAACACCAACATCTCCGTCAATCTTCGTCGCTGTCCGCGCCGTACATATCATCTTTGTGTGTAGCCATCGGTTTCAGATGTCGAAATTCCGGCCGACACGGTCCACCGGCAGAATCGAACACCTCCGTTAGACGAACAATCGATTCCGACCATCCGCCACACTGACCGTTTTCGGCGGTGATTTGAAGGGAGAGAGAACAGAAAAGCGACAGACGGATTTAATTTTTCTTGTTCACATATCGATTTTGGGGGAGGATGTTGATTTGAGGATCTTAGTTTATCAATTGTCATTTTTGAAAATACTTTAATTATAATATAAATAAATTAGTGGTTTAAATATTTTATACTAAATTATAAATATATATATATATATATATATATATATATTGATATGTAAATGTTAAGAAAAAAAAAAGTAAATAAAGTCGACATTGAACCCTAATAACCAAAAATTGAAAATATAAAGCAATAATCAAACCGACATATAATGTTTCGAACTGAAAATTTATTTCGGCCAAGTTTGAGTGCTATAGTGTACAGTATGTAAGACAGTAATATACATTTTATCTAACAATATCATGCACAAAATTGGTTTTAATATGCAGTCTAACAGACATTAATGAACCGATAGTATTTTTATCACAATCAAAATTAAAACCGACCATAAATGATTGGTTTAGCCGGACAGTTAAACAATTTAACCAAAATAACTTCATTAAATTATTATGTATATTTGTAATAATGTAGTTAGTTTTTTGAAATTGAAAGAAAAAATAAATAATCGGTCAGAATATAAAATGTCGAATCGAAAATTTTAGTTTGGACGGGTTCGATCGCTAATGTGCAATCTAATAGTCATTTATGTGCAGTCTGTCTAACAATATTGTGCACTTGCAACACACAAAAAATATATGAATAATAATAATAATAATAATAATAATAATAATAATAATAATAATAATAATAATAATAATATTGTGCACTTGCGACACACAAAAATTTAATAATAATAATAATAATAATTCGCTTTGAAACTTTATATTTTGGTTCGATAATGTGCAATTTGACACTCACTAATGTGCAATCCGTCTAACATCGGTGTGCATTCATTTTAGTATTATTGTGCAACTAAGGACTTTTATTAATTTTTACGTAATTAACTCATAAACTAAATTACAATATAATTAATATTTCTGATATTGCAAAGAAGCCCCTAAAAGTTATCTAATTTATAAAAAGAAAACCCCAATCCCAAATTCCATTTCTGTGCGACTGCGCGATTTTTTCTGGCTGGATTTTTACCGCCGTCGATTGGAGTTCGGACGACGGTGACAATGGACGACCAAGGATCAGCTGCCTTCCCGTGCCTACCCATCTCCTCGTTCACAATCTACCAAAAGCAGCTGTCATGAAATCCCTAACCTGAATCGGGAACCCGTTTCTCAACCGAGGACATCGTCTCTTGCCTCGTGGCCGTCCAATCCCAAAATTGCCTGCCTCACTAAAGGCAACACCGCCGTATGGATGGCGGAGAATGTCAGTCGCCGTCGGAAACTGAATTTTCCGATCGACGAACCGTTGAACTTTGTTCAGGTCTTGCGTGGTGAGTTACATATTTCTAGATTTTGCAGCAATTCGATGGAGTCGGGAACGATGATGACTGATTTGTGTTTGGTTATTTGACGATGAGGAGTGGTTTGTGGATTTTGGGAGACGATGAGGAGTCATTATGGTGAGCAATTCGATCTTAAATTGTGTCTGATTTTCGAAATCGGATGACGATGAAGATGATGAATCGGGGAGGCAGAGGCGGGGTGGGCTGTGACGGCGATTAGGGCCGCCGGCGAGAGGAATCCAGCGGAGACTGTCTGGGCAGGTTGCGTGTGTGTGTTTGTGCGAGAGAGAGAAAAGAAGTGGGAGAGAGGATGGAGGGGACGGTTGGGGAGTGGGGCCCATGAGGTTGAGTGGAATAAAATGTCTATTTTATCCTTAATTAGTGTTAAAAATTGACTTTTTTTAATCCATTAGATCATCCGATCTAACGGATACGATTTATTCTTATTTCTTTCATTGAACACCATTCTCGCTGGAGCGCGACCATATATATATATAGAGTCACGCTCTGGTGAGAATGGTACTCAGTGAAAGAAATAAGAATACATCATGACCATTAGATCGTATGATCCAAAGGCTGAAAAAAAGCTAAAAATATACCTTAATTAAGAATAATGTGGTAATTTTATACACTCCAATTAAGTAGTGGGACCCATGCTACCACGAAGCAACTCACCCATGGGCCCAATTTACACCTCATCTCTGTCATTAACTCTTTCTCTCTCTCACACATACACACACATCACACACAAATTCACAACTGCTCGAATCTCTTCCCATGGCCGTCGTCCACGACCGTTCCCCGTCAATCTCCGCCTGCGCCTCCGCCTCCGCCTCTGCCTACCCGACTCCTCCAACTGCAGCCCTCATTTCGGGTTCCGTCTCCCATTTCCAGCCGCCTCCCTCCTCCATCTTCGCCGTCTACCTCGAAAGCTCCAAGTCCTCGACCACGGCAACGGCGGCTCGACATACAAGATCTGACAGCGCCGCAGCTCCGCCTTATACGCCCTACACGCTGCAACTCCGCTAATCCATCCTCCGCCGCACCACCTCCTCCAACGTCTTCGCGAGCAGAGGACGACCACTTCGGGGGAGCAGATGATTTTCAGGTACAGTAGAATCGGAGAGAGAGCTTACGAATATTGGAGGTACAGACGGCGGCGGCCGATGAGAAACGGTGGGCGAAAGTGGCCCAGTCGATGCACCTGCGATTTGGGGATTTTTGTGTATTTGAGAATTAGATCTCTTTGAGGGGCATGATTGCAATTTTGAGAATTCTGATTAAATATCAATTTGGTCCATAGGGCAAAATTTTTTATTTACAAATACTATATAAAAAATATTATTTTTTATATATTTTATGCACACATATATTAGAATCATTTATTTATATAAAATAAACAAAAAATCCGTGGACAAAAAAAAAAAAAAAAA